ATATAATTCTTTTAGATCGATATACTTATTCGTTTTACACTTTTTCTAAAATGGGTTTATTAATAAATTCAGCAACACTTTCAGTGTTTCTTTTGGCTTTTGTTAACTGTGTCGCAGCCGAGGTTTATTATGTTGGACCTACAATCGGTGGTATTGTTGGTTTGGTAAGATATTAAAACTTTGAAAGTTTACTTTTCTTGTAAACATATAATTTTATATTTTTTAAAAAGATTATTCTGATTGTGGATATTATTGCTGCTGTAGAAATTTTACGTTCAGGAAAACCACTTGTTGAAAAAATTCTTTGGATTTTATTTATCTTCTTCTTTCCTATTATTGGTAAGATTCTATTTTAATAAATTTAGAATTTTTTTTATTTTATATTATTCTATAGGATTGGTTGTTTATTTACTTTGTGGTCGTGCTCGATCTACCGGCATTTAAATCAATAAATAATCAATTATCTAACTTCGTTTTATCTTTATACCGAATTATATTGTTATCTGTTACATTTTTGCCTTTTATTGTCTTTTCTTCGTTTGCTTAATCGAGCTCTCTCATTTTTTTTGAATGAATATAAGAAAGAAAACGTGTGACATTTAGAAATCTAGAGAATATTTGTATAGGATTAGAATTTGAAAAATAATGATTCATATAGGAATTGGCCTTTTACTAATAACTATAAATGCATAAAGTAAAGAAAATCATTTATTTATTTTTTCTTGGTCGAATCGGAATACAAATCAATTGATATATTTACAAACTAAAAAAAGAATTCATAACACTTATCGTATTATAATTTATCTATCTACTTATTTTTTTGTTTAACGGTATTCAGATTCATCTGTATAACTAAATATTCTATTTAGGAGAAAATGAAGTCACGCATGATGTACATCGATACGATTGAAAATCTAAGTAAAATAAATGAGCCTGGAATCAAAATTGATTTTGTACTTATCGGACTGGAATTCTGCAAATATGCTTTTAAAATATTTTATTTTACTCACCCATTTTCTTTGCTTAATATAAACTGAATGCTTTGAATTACACTAAAATATCTCTTTTAATTAATCTTCTTTGCATATCTTATCATGTTAAGTACGTCAAAAGAAAACTGCTTATCTTTTCTGACATGCACATAATAGTTGTACTTTTTGATCTGTACTTTTTTCATCAAAGACAAGTTATTGTTTGTGCTATATTAATAATAGTGTTCTATCTTAATCGATACTACTTGTTAACGTACAACTGACATTAAGTTGTTAATCTTTTTCTAGGAAACTACATCGAATTCTACAAAAGATTTGGTTTTTATTAAAGATTAACATACATCTTCCCTCTATGATCTGACGTACATTAAAAAATAACAAATATATTTAATCGAATTAGATTTTTGAGAAGTATATATATCTACAATTTTATAATGTATATTTGATCTTTCGTATGAAAAGTGATATGTAAAGAAACAAAATTAATGTATCTGAGACGTCACTAGAAGCTATTCAATATCATGTCATATAGATATTTTTTGTATTCATTTGATTATTATTATTTAGATGAAGTATAGGTTATTTTCAGCTGATTATGTTGGTATATAACTATTATTAACGCTAGAAATCAAGATGATAGAATATTTTCTGAATGAAATGTAAATAAAAATAAGATATAGATCAGCAGCTTTCAATGTCTGATAGCTAAGGTCTAAAATTATATTTGCATAAGAAAAGAGTTCGATAAAAAAACTAACAGAAAATTTTTTAGAGAAAGATCTCACATAGGATGGGACGAAATTTTGTTTCCGAAATGGCTCATGGAGTGGGATGAGGGGGGGACGAGTTTTGCCTCGCATGAGATATATATATATATAATTACCTTTTTTAAGTAAAAGATTATCTTGTATAGACATCGTATTTGATAATCGGTACGCACAAGTAATTCTGAAAAGGATATTAAACTGTCTATTCAGTATTAGCAAGAGTAACAAGTAAACTAAATTGTGTACTTTTTACCTTCACAGTTGCAGAACGTCAAATTTGGTGACGCCGGTTTTATTTTGAATGAAAGAAGTAGTTTAGATCCAGAGCATTTGAACAATATTCTATTTATTTGAACAATAGAACAAATGAGATGAAAGATAAAAAATAGACTGTCACATAGAATGTGACAAATGGAAATGATTATTTGATTTAATAAAGCATATTATAGTGTTAAGTTTATTTTACAGTAGAGTTTTTTTACAATGCAATATATTCCATAGGATCCCACGGGATGAGTTACATTGAATTGTAGCACGAAAAGTCTATGCTATCTCATCCCATGCGAAGCCTTGTTTTAGAGTATCATCTAAACAATTATCATAGTAGTATACTGATATTTGCATATATTCGCAATAAATCTTTCTAAAGATACGTGAAAAAGTTCCTTGGATAACGAAAAATCCGTTCAAAACTTATAAAATATTAATAGAGTACAAAATGGTAAAGAGCCAAACAATAAAAATAGTATATTGATCTATTCATGAAACACAAAATGAAAGATGAAGTTTTCAAATATAAATGAAATAACAGCATAATTTTTCCAAAGATTCTTTAAAAACTCAATCTTGCCTATTAATTACTGTAAACTGATTAACTCATTAATAATTGTCTAATGTAAATATGAAGATGTATTTTTTGTTTTGATAGTTGCAAATACGTATCATAAATAATAAGAACGAATATTTTATTAATAAAAGGTGCGTAAGAATACTTTTCAACGAACAATATACTTATTATATATTCAATACAAGATTTTAAATGAATATATAAAAACTTAAAAGATATTTAAATATGCAATAAGTCATTTATTATTCTTGCATCGTTAATTTTTACAAGCTTTCACATATGATATATGATAACCAATAAAAATATGAAACAATCGCTAGCTTATTTGATCTTTATAAACATTTCTTTTGACGCTTATACATACCCTATATGTTTATGTCTAATTTATATGTAACTCAAAGCATTTTTATTTATAAAGTACGTCTGTTAATTATATCGAAAAACATTTTCTAATAAGGAAAAAAAAGTATATTCTACTACTTTTCTTCTATCGGTAACACTTCAAAAAAAAAGTAAAATGTGATCAGACATTTATATGTTTTTAAGTAATATTGTTGTTGGAAAGAAAAAACATAAATACATATGAAAACTCATGTCATAGTTTTCTTGAACAGTAATATTTTATGACATTAATCGAAATATGACTAGAAATAAATCTTCTTTTGTACTGTTTTTATTGTAATACAAAACCATTTGAAGGTATGTTTTTTTCTCTTGGTGCATATAAATGAAAAAGAAATCATATTTGCCTTTATAAAGAAAGTTACGGGAGAACGAGAATAAAGAAAAATAACATTCATCAACTCCATAGTAATTTTTTATTATTTCTGCACTACGCGCTTACCTACTGGATAGTGTATTTATTTTAGAGAGCAAAAAAACAATGACAGATTCTGAACAACCTCTCTTATTATCAATAGAAAATAGGTAATCGAAGAAAAATAGAAATTTTTGATTTATTTTGGAAAAAAAATTCAACATTTTTTATGTCTAGTAGAGAAAAACATCGTGTAGTTGTAATAGGTGGTGGATGGTCTGGTCTTTATGCATTAAAATATTTATTAGGTGAAGGTCTTGATGCTCATTTATATGAAGGTCGATCACATATTGGAGGTATTTGGCATTTTGATGAAAATGAAAATGTTGGTGGAGTTTATAAAACAACTCATGTTACATCATCAAAAACATTTTTACATGCTTCTGATTTTCCATTTCCAAATTCAATCGGTGAATTTCCTTCTCATGAAGAAGTATTTGATTATCTTAATTCCTATGCTAATCATTTTAAACTTTGGCCAAATATTCATCTTAATTCAAAAATTATACATGTTGAACCACAATGGATAATTACATTAGAAGATGGAGTAAAAACTATTGAATGTGATTATCTTGTTGTCTGTTCAGGACAACATCAACATGCAAATGATCCACGTTATATTCCTCCATTTGATAAATTTACTGGAACATTTTCACATAGTATAACATATAAAAGTCCTTATCATGAACAATTTATTGATAAAAGAATTCTTGTTGTTGGAGGTGGTGAAACAGGAAGTGATTTAGCTGTTGAATTAAGTGCAACAATTGCTAAACGTGTTTATATGAGTATTCGTGAAGGTCAATGGTTTCAAGCACGTGTATTAGGTCAACAACCAGCTGATATAATGTATACAATGTTAATGAGATTATTTGGTTATTATGATAATATATTAGTTCTTTGTTGGAAACGAATATTTTTTGTACCAATGTGGGGAAGTGGTGGAACAGGTGTTCCTGAATGGGTTCCAAAAGTTCGATTTTTACATGGTTTTATAAATAAAAGTCGAGAAGTTGTTGATTTTATCGCACTTAATCGTGTTATTCCAAAACGAGGAATTACTAATATTGATAGACAATTAATCACATTTGACAAAGATGAAACTCCTGTTGAAATTGATCATATACTTTTATGTACTGGTTACAAATGGAAACATCCATTTTTTTCTCATACTGATATACATGATTTATATAAACTTGTTTTTGCATCGAATTCTAATGGAACAGTTGCATTTGTTGGTACAGCAAGACCAGTATTTGGTTCTATACCAGCATTAGCAGAATTACAAGCACGTTGGGTAGCAGCAGTATTTTCTGGTCGATGTCATTTACCATCAGAAAAAGTAATGACTAAACGTCGTCAAGAATATTGGAAGAGACATACTCGTCTTTATCCACATGATGATATTCGTCTTAAACAATTAGTTAATCTTTTTGAATATACTGATGTCATCGGTGATGAATTAGGTGTACGCCTTAATCTATTTTATTTATTTTTTCGACATCCAATAGCCTGGTATCATGTTTATTGTGCTTCTCCGTGGTCACCATTTCTATTTCGTATCGGTCGTTTATCATCAGATGAAGAAAAACTAGCTTATAAACGTCATTTAGCATGTATACCAGAAAAAAATCAAACTTTTCATCGATACAATGATGTTATGATTTGGGCATGGGTGATTGTATTAATTTGTTTATTTACTTCATTTATTTTAATTGTAGCTATTCCTCTTATTTTATATTTAAGTGGAATATTCAAATAATATGTTATAGTATAATATACTGATAAGATTAAATGCATTTAAAAAACGAAATTATAAATCAATGTTTTTATATTTTTCTTTTCTTCTTTGACGTCTATGATAAAATAAAAATACAGTTTTGTTGACACAACACATATTTATATCGAAAGTACGTAAGCAAGAATAGTATGACTGATTACTAACGTCATGGGAGAAAAAAGTTCGAGAATTTATTTAGTAAACCACCTCATATATTCCATATTTTTTATGCATTAATCAAAAAAAAAATAATTACTAATGTATTCTTCTTTTTTTCCCTTTTAAAAAAATTCCTATTTTCCATTTTTCTTTTTTCTTTCTTTGCAATCTCATTCTACGCTTTCATCTACAGTATTCAAATACAGAATAAATAGTTCTATATTGATCGCGTGCAATTTATGCATGTTCATGAATCATCGCCTATCGTTGCTATTTAAAAAAGAAGTTATATTAGTTTTTCTTTTTATTTTCTTTCTGTTTTATTCTTGAAAAAAAAGGGCCGGTTGTCATCATCAACCGGCATCATAACATAACATTATGTAACCACCTTTTTTTTACTTACTAGAATATCCTTGAAGAATGTAGGCGGCAACAAGGAGAACGAAAAGGATCCGAGATATAAATTAATAAAGCTCAAGAATTGTTTGATCCCATTGATAAGCCTAATGCAATATGTTATTATTTTATTAAAATATTTATCTGTCATTTTTGTTTTTTAGATGGATAAATTTGATACTGATACATATTTTGAATTTAAAACTTATGAAGAATTTCGAACAGCACGATTAAAGTTAAATTATGATAGTACATTAAAATTATGGTATTCATTACCTGAAGGATTACCTACGTCTGGAGATAATCAATTGGTCAGACGACAAACAACTAGACAACAACGAGCACGTGTGAGATATATGAAATTTTATGCATTTTATTGTACATTACTTAAGAAAACATTTCTGAGAAAAAAAATTCAATCAAAAGGTAAGTAGAAAAATTATACGGAACAAAAGAATTAATTTATTTTGTATTTCAGGATTTCGTTTATGGAATGAAACATTAAATGTACCAGCATTAAAAGATGATTCTCTATATGGTATATATCAATCTATGGGTCATGTTACTTCGGAATTTCTTAGTAAAGGTCGACGATATGATCCAACAATTAGTTTCGAAGAATTATTTAAAGCTGGTCGAACAGTTTGGTTTATGATTGCTTTTCAAATGCAACTTAATATTCCATTAGCTTTAACTGATTCGATATTTGGTTATAATATGCTTTATCCATATACGGATGATCTAGTCGATAGTAATGATATAAGTCGAGAATCAAAAAAAGATTTTGCAAAAGTTTTTCATGAACGTTTACTCTATGGTGAATCAACATATGATCCAAAAGTACATTTTGACGGTAAACAATCAAATGCAAATGAATTAGATTTACCTATATCATTACAACCACATGCAGATCGTATTGTAAAAATATTTGATATGGTTAAATTTATTGAAAATGATTGGGTACGTGGTGGAGAATATGAAGGTGTTTATATGAGTTTAGCGACTATTCATGAATCACAAATGAAATCAACACTACAACATGCAAGAATTGAAGATAATTATGCACCAACAATGGAACAAGTTGAACAAGTTAGTGCAGAAAAAGGTGGTGCATCATTAATAGCTGCTGGATTTTTAATTGAAGGACGATTAACAAGAGCTAAGATGTCTTATTTAGAATATTTAGGATTTGGTTTACAATTACTTGATGATTTACAAGTAAATAGTTTTTGAATTCATACTGATTTATTATAGCGACAATTCATTTTGTTTAGGATGTAAAAGAAGATATGAAAAATAATCATCGAACAATTTTTACTCAAACTCTTGCTGATGGTAAAACATTAGATGCACCAACAGCTCGACTTATTCGATATTGTTATTGTGCATCAGCATATGAAAAATTTAGTGATGATCTACGTACAGTTTCTGATCGAAAAAGTGGTGTGACATTAGCACATTATGTTCGAGTTTCAATGATGATGTTTTCTGTTGTATTAGTATTAGAAGCTGCATCTCGATTAAAAGAACATTATTCGAGAGAATTCTATCGTGAATTATCTTCATTAAGTCCAATAGCATTCCGTGATTTAAGAAAAGCTCGTGTAGAAGAAACAATGTGGAGAATTGTACGAAATCAATGGTTTTGATAATTTATTTTTTTTATTAACTTTCAATGATTGTGATATTAACCATATTTTGATTGATATTCTATATATATATTATGATTGTTATTATTTTTTTGATAAAATAAAAATGAAGAACAATGATAAATACTAAAGAAATACATGAGCACGACTAGAATATCTCGATGTCTTCAATTGTTCATTTAAAAAGTTATTCGACTATCTTCACATCCCAATGACACTTGATTGAAGTTGTTGACATAAAACAAAGGACAAACTTTTCATACATGTTGACGCAAATACTACGAACAAAAACGTTTCTGTATTATTTATTTTATTTTTCATGATAGTTTACTTTGTTTATTTGCTCAATAATCTATTCATAGAAATAATGAAAGCCGCAATCTAACAGAATATTCTTATATCTATCTTATAATATGCACAGTATTTTACAAATAGTGTACGCTAAATAGTTGCTCTTTTGACATTAGCTTTCTCATTTCATTTGTCAATCTTGAGGAAGTATGTGAATGAACGTGTTTGACATGTTCTTTCTCTTCCGTCAGCTGTAGTCATATTTACACCTTTGATATGAATGAGTGAACTCCGAAAGCTTACTAGTCGAGAGTAACACTGTTGTTGAGAAGACTTATTTATGAAATTAATGGCATCGATAAAATTATTGTAGTCTAACTTAAATAATAAACTAGTATTTCAGATAGATTGATCGTTTAAATGCATGTAAGAAACACGATTTTTATTTAGTATATGTCATTTCTACTAACATAAAAGCAAAATATACAAATGATATTATATTTATTGAATAAGAATAAAATAAACAGATCAAAAATCATATAAAACATAAACTTGACTAGTAAAAAATTATAAAGTAAAACATGAAAATATATAATGCTTTCGTTTTAATCAATGATGATATATTCGACATGAATTGTTTATTGAATCCTCATTATTCATTCGTTGTACATATAGACAAGTCATCATTGTTTTTTACTAAAATCAAAATTCAATGTATAAGAAATTATTTCTCATAATCTTTCTTACATTTTTTAGTTAATGGTAGTTGTAAATTACTAATTCGTTTGAATAATTGTTTTTCATTAGTCTTTCGATTTTCATGATAATCGAATTCAAGTTCTTCATCAGTATCATTATTATATACATTTTCTATTGTATGATGATAACGACGTTTAATTTGTTGTTGAGCATTACTTGGTGCAAAAGATATTATTGGAGATTGATTAATTCCCAATTGTTTGAGAAGTTCATTAAATCGCTCGGAATTTATTTGATCAGGCAAAGCAATTGGATGAACACGAGTTGGAGATATTTGTTTCACAAATGTACATATTTCATTATATGAAGAATGAAGAGAATAACAAAGACGATAATAATCAGTAGAGATTTGAACAAGAGGAGATTTAAATTGTCGTTGTTGTTGTTGCTCTAGTGTAAACCAAAGAACAGAAAGAACGATCTAAAATCAAATATTTCAAATTTTAATGTTGCAGAAATTTTTCTAGGAATTTTTTCAAAAAACTTTACCTTAATAGATGATTTTGTATGTGAGCATTTTGGCCAACAAGCATGTAATCTCGTTTTATTACCATCTATTGTTAACACTCGTTGTACTTGTGGTAAACAATCATATAAATGATATTGTTCTGAATTTACATGTATTAGAATTCCAAAATGTTGATATAATGACATATAGATATATTCATAACCTACACGAGCAGATGTTTTGAGATAAAAACATTGATTATCATATTGTTGTATAAAATCAATAAGTTTTTCACATGCACGTTCACGTTCAGGTAATTGTCGTATTGATGGTTCAAAAAAAGTCATGTCAATATAGAGTGTATCAATACGTTTTTTAGATAAAATAATACGATGACGTTTTGATTGATGAGAATAAAGACGAAAATCACCGGTATATAAAATTGTACCATGAGAACCTTCGAACAATAACATTAAAGAACCGGGACAATGACCAGCGCCACAGCAAGTAACTGTTACTGAGCTATCTATAAAAAAAATTAAATATGTATAATAAATAAGACTTTTGTTTTTACTTTCATCTACAGGATTTTGTATAGTAAATGGTTGATCAATATTAAGAACTGAATAGAATTGTGATAAATGTTTATATGCAGATAATTTTGAAAGAAAATGTCGTGTAGTATCTGAACAATATATACGAATTGAACGATTATTTGTTACATATTGAGAAAATGTTGATTGATCTAAACCACGAAGATGATCTGTATGTCTAGGAAAAATTCAAAGTTATTTTTTAGGGTTAAAAACAGATTTTTCTAATTATTACATATGAGATATAAAGAAAACTCGTGATACTTCACAATTTGTTTGAAGAAATGAATCAATTGAAATCCATGGATATTCTGTCAATATACCACCGAATGTACACATTTTGTTTTTGCTCACATATCTCGTTGTTCTAAGATTATTTACAATTAATAGGTTTTTATGTTATTGCACAAGTATTAAGCAATGTTCTGTTCTTTTGCTATGGCTGATTTCTACATCCAGTCAAAAACTACTTGTATAGAGAACGCTATGTCAAAATTAGATCTTTCTTCGTTTTTGAAAGTAGAAAACAAGTTTTACGATTGTATTCATTCATTTAGATATACAACGATGTCAAATCAATCTGTTATAAAGCATAGAATATCACCCAATCTAATTTCCTTTAACTAATACTAACCATAATTTCGATCTTTAGTTTTTGCTACGAAGATTTAAAAATACGAGAACTTTGCGGAAGCTTGTAATACTCTTAAGCTCTGAGAAAATGATCTGAATACTTAAAACTATTTCAGCCGATTAAATAACTCTTCTAGCTCAACATGAGTGTGAATTCAAAACATTTCTCTTACTATAAAACATAAATCGATTTAATATTCTACCGTACTTTGTTTTATTTGACCATGATTATTGAAACTACTAATAAATATTTATTAATTCGTTTTTTTTATTTTCAAAAATTTCTTAAATAGACTTCAGATAAAGAGACAAAACAAAAAAACAACAACAATATAATATGTAACAAAACAACGAATAACAAAAATAATCTAGTTTAATTTTTATCATTTTCATTTCATTAATTCTTCAGATGACGAGAAATCTTGTGAAGTAAACCAATCAGGTAAAAATTGATAGGTAGCTTCAGTTGTAGTACGCCATTTGATTTTTTTCTCTTGTGGAGAAAAATAAAAAAGATAAACCGTTCTTAAATGAAAACAAAAAAAGAATAATTATTTAAATTTACAACAAAATACTAACTTTTCATCATCAAAATAATCTTTTGTAATAGTCTTACGGACAAATGCACAAAATTCATTGAGAAATCCTAAAAATGAACTTGAACTCCATGTTCGCTATTGAGAAAGAAAATATTGTGATTTAAAAGATTTTTGCAAAAAAAATCAAATATTTACAGCACGTGTTTCAATATCTTTAATAAGTAATGGTTGAATTTGACGCACAACACCATGATCATCACGAAAACCTAATAAGATTTGTTCGATACCAGTTAAAAAACACTGTGACCACCATTTAGCATATTTTCGAGCACTAAATATAAATAAATCTTGTATTCATATATTATCGTTCAATAATTTCCTTACGTTGTTGTATGTAAATCTAGCATATTTTCTGCATAAACAACTTTTATTTCAACAAATGTTCCTTTTTTCTTTAATTTTGTATTCGAATTTTTATTATCATTATGATTACGTGTTGATTTTTGACATATATTTTCATCATTAAATACAGAATCTTGTGTACATGCATCGATTTCACTACCATATAAAAGTGTATGTACACCTAATGTAGCTAAATTGACAAGTGAAAACAATTTCTTTGGACTTGGAAATAATGGTGGTGTTTCTAAAAATATGATTATGTCTAATTTATTCTGCTAAAGTAAAATTCTTATAGTATACCTGAACAAAGATAATCTTCAAATTTATGTCCCCAATAACACATTCGTTTTTCAATCGGTGTTTGACCAAATTCTACACCTAATTCTGTATCAGTATGAAATACATGAAGAAAATAAGCACCACGAAAACGAATAACACCAATACGCCAATCTGTATCGTTATTAAATAATGAAGACATGATTTTTCTTATTGTTCCACGCCATGCAACAAAATCAAATGTAAATCTTTTTAAAATTCAAAAATAAAAAAAATTATTTATTTACAAATATATTTACCGTCCTTTATTATCCATTAAACTTGTTCTATGTCGATTAATCCACCAAAGTAAAGCATCAAGTGATGTTGATGGTTCAGCTGGATTTAAATAAGCTGAACCAATATTAAGATCAAATTCTATATTCATTTGTTTTATTTGTCTTACATCATCTAGATTATATCGAAGTCGTTTTAAATAACGAAAATCTTCTCGACAACGATTTGCATCGGAACGATCAGCTGTAGAAAAATAACCAATATCTTTTAAATAAAATGATATATTTCGTCCATGATATTTCGACCAATGAAGAATAGATAATGTTGTTGGAGATATATAATTTGCTGGAAATTGATCACATGGAATAAATATAGGCATACGATGTTCCATAGCAGTTGGTAATGGAAGTGTTATATCAACTGAAACAATTTCAGGTTTACGATGATGTTTTTTTTTACTAGTTTCATCTTTTAAAATTGATAATGATGGTGGACATGGTGTTTCAATATTTTTTTGCAATGTAAATTTTACTTGCCGCGATAATTTACCACGACCAGTACCATCCATAAAATTATCATTATTGAAATAGGTTAAAGATAACGACATTACTGTTGATCTACTCGATATATCGACTCTACTAGAAATAGAAATAAAATTTAACTATTCGGATATATAAATATGTATCTATGTAGTAAGATAAACTCGTGGCATATTTTTGAAGAGAGAGAGATAATAACAGAAACGAAAAATAAGTTTGACTTATGATTCATAGTTCATGTAATATATGTATATATATATTATTATTAGATAGGATCAGGAATATGTTCAAAATGACTGTATTTTACTATCGTATATTCTTAAATATTTTGTAAGACGAGTTATCTCAGTTTATTGTAAAAATAAAAATGTTAAATAATAAACTTATACATATAAAAGATAAATCTATTGATGTCATAATTGTCATGTTTATCCAATCTTCAAATCTGTTTTTTCAAGAAAAACTTAGCAAAATAGTTATAGGTATCACATGGATTCAACACTGTAATTAACTTGAAAAAAATATCAGACAGATTTTCAAACTGATATGTTTATTTTCAGTATTCTCCTTGAATTACAATATATAATCTGCTTGTAGATCTTTGATAGTATTTTAAAGGAACTTATAGCGATATTTTATCCGTTAATAAAGAATTTCCCAAGTACATATATTAATATTTTACTTCATTTATTTGATATACGAGTCTCAGTGTTGAAGTATAAATTTACCCTATTAGAACAGCACGTTACAATATCATATTTATGCGAGGCTCTTCACTGCATTGTATCTCATTCGAATGAATAACAAAAAAAACAAAAAAGAATGTGTGAAAGTATGCGAAGATATGTCTGTAACGTTATTATCGCAGCATTTGTATTTAATCACTTAAAACCATGAAATATAAGACTCCGAATTTTATTAAAAATAATCTTCGTAGTTTAATATTATCTAGTATATATTTATTGATTAACTGAAAATAATCAATTCTTTATTAAAATTCTTGTCGATAGTGTGTTATTTGTTTAATTTTTATTTGTTAAGTTAACATCAATATAGAATGAACTACAAAATCAAATGAATAATAAAGTATTGAATTTTATTTCATTTATTAGAAAAATAGGTCAAGATTTCTACAGTTTATTGGATTTATAACATATTTTTTCCGAGGAAATGACTTTTAGTAACTGGATCAGATAAAAACATATATCGTTTTCATTCATCCTGCAGACTTTCTCATATTTGTTAACGAGTAAAACATTAGATCGAATGAGATTTACATATGTTAGTCAACTTATTTTTTATACAAACGTAGTTAATCAATAGATAACTAGGCTATTTCTATCTTCGACACAATATAAGATCATATGATTTATATAAATAGTTCTAGTTTGTATATTAATATATTGTATAATATACAAGAATGGAACCGATTAGTTTTTCGGTTAACCATTGCCAATAATTCTAGTTAACAATCGATTATAGTTTTAATATGTATACACAAAAATCTATCATTAGTTGATAGTTTCTCAAAGTTATTGATGTTTAGAAACATTAAGTTAATTGCGACAAACAAGAAAAACACAAATTTTGTCGTAGTCATTAGCGTGTACTCAGTAAAACATGACATATACTATAGTATGATTCAGAAGAAGAAGCCACATTGAAAAGTGTAATAAAAAAGAATATCATAAAATATATGAATGTTTTTTTTTATTTCATATCATTGAATAAAGGCATAGGGTAAATGTCTTCATATAATGAGAAACCATAATCATAATCAAGATAAATATCAGTTCGAAACATTTTATTATTATAGGTTTCATCCATGCTATTAGCATTATTTTCTAATGTGAAGAATATTAAAAAATATATGAAATAGTTTTCTATTCAGATTGTTTAAATGTATATAATGAAGGAATTCTAATCAGTTAAGACCATGGAATTTTTATTAATACATTGCATAAGTTATTTCCTAAAGCTAAAACCATCAGATGTATATGACTGATCATTATTTATGTTATGGTTATTAATATTTAATATGGTATGGCATCTGTTCCTAATTTTTAATTATGTATCATATATATTTCTCTTTTCTATATACGAAAATATTATATCAGCAAAAACATGCATAGAGTCTAAATCAAAAAGCGTAACAAATTGTGTTATAACAAATCAAGTATACTATAAACTTCATGTAAGAATACAATGTTACAAATGTATTTTTCTAGTCATTCAAGTCTTTTTATATTATTTTTCACATATTTTTGTCAATATATATTATTTGATTTATAGAGAAACATATAATAAATTATGACGTACACGAAATCTATTCATCTCGTGTAGATTACTACTCGGCAAAGATTTTATTGGATTATACACTGTATGAATCTGACCTACTCAAGTGCTAAATTAATTGATACCTTTATTTTTCTGAATAAAAGTTCAAATAACATTCATTTGTTGAGTATATCCTTTTTTTCCTGACATAATTTTTGAAATTACTCAGATGTATCTGTATCTATTGAAACGAAAAATGAAATATTATATTACAAAATAATTAGCATAAAATTTTTGAACTCTTGTAAATTTATAAATAACATTTCTATATGATTTTGCTTAGATAGTTTCAATAATACCGACTATATCTATTATTAATGCAATATATTTAGTAATTGTGATGGATAGAAAACAGCTAATCCAAATGCGTAAATGCCATACATTGACGGGCTTTATCAAAATTTATGCTGAAATATATATAGTAAGAGAAAAAAAAATGGTTGTCTAATGTTAAATATGTCGCACGCAACCAATATGATGATGAGAATCTCTTGGGAAACATAATACGATTAAAAAACCTAACCGAGAAGAACAAAAAAAAACAGATCTTTTTCTTTTTTTCTAGAAATTTTTGATTGTTAAATATTGAAATAAATAAAATAAAGAAATTATTTGACGTTAGTTTTTCAAGAAGAAGTTATTGGAAATTAATTATTGATGAATATATGTTTTTGATATTAAATATTCTTTTTTAATTAAAAAAAACAGATGTCAGTATATGAAAAATGTCTATCTATTTATCGATTGGTGAATCTTTTCGATTCATAGAAGTTAACTACCAACCATCCTTCTATATTTTTCTTGTGTTTTTTTCAAGGAAAAAAAAAGAAGCGAGAAATTCTTCTTTTTTTTGTGTATGTCAATTCATTTGACATATAGAAAATGCTACTACATGAATATCGAATATGTTTACCATTTACAATTGAAGAAGTAAAATTTTAAGAACAAAAAAAAATTATTTTTTATTATATAATAATTTTTAGTATCATATTGGGCAACTTTATATGATATGTAAACATTGTGAAATTGAATCCAGTAAAGATGAAGGTGTAGAAGTTGTGCGTAATGAACCTATTACTAATGAAAATGGTTTAGTCGGTCAATTAACGGAAAAACGATTATATTTATCAAGGTTTTTCTTTATCTATTCATGAGTTGTTTTTTTATTTTTTATTTGTTTCTTTAGTCGTTTACCAACTTGGATACGTTCACTCATTCCTAATTTATTTTATATAACTGAAAAAGCCAGTAATTTTTATCCATATACAACAACTGGTATGTTTTCTATTTGCTTGAATTTCGCCTAAATATATATAAATGACTAAGGGATTGCTATAATTGTTTTTTTTCTGTAGAGTATACCGTAAGTGATGAATTAATATTAATGTCTTGCTTTTTTTTCTCAATATGTTGTGTTTAAATATGAGAGATAAATTAATATTTTTACCTTATGCTACTTACATTTTCTAAGCGTGAAACAATAAGAATATGATCACAGCTTGTGCTTTTTCATAATTATTGTGGTGTGTTTTGTGTATTTCATGTTTCTGTGTAGAAAAATCATTGGTTTTTTGTTTTTCATTATAATATAATCTGATATTATTTTTTATATTTAGTGTTCATTTTTGCCACGTTTTTCAATAATGGTTGAAACACGATATGAAAATAATAATGGTACCACAGAAAATGTAAGTGTCTTTTATACTCGTTAAGCTATTTTTAACTATTTATTGCGGCTTTTTAAGTGCCACTCATTATCACCTGATGAATTAGCTATTCGGAAATTAGAATACTTGGATATTGCCACAGAACGTATACCAGATTATAAATACAAAGAAAGTGAAGATCCATGTAAATTCAAATCCACAAAGACAGGTCGTGGTCCATTAACGGCTACGTGGAGAGTATGTTTTCATAATTATATTTTCTTATAAAAATAAATAAAAAATTAATAGGATTATATGAAACCAATAATGTGTGCCTATAAAACTGTTCGAGTACGTTTCGAAGTATGGGGATTTCAAACACGTGTAGAAGATTTTACGCAACGTGTAAGTAATTAATTTACATTTATAAATATATATATACATTTATTATTCTCTAGGCTGTGCGTGATATTTTAATACTTGCACATCGACAAGCATTTACATGGATGGATGAATGGTAATAAATGCATTATTATTAATTAATAATGAAATAAATATTTTTCTTTTCTATTTTCAAGGTATGGTATGTCTATGGATCAAGTTCGAGAATATGAACGTGAAATGTTTGAACGAACGAATAAAAAAGTCTTACAATCAACTGCTCCAATAATATCACCTATATCAACTCCAACGACAACGAATAATACGATTTTCGATTAAACGAAAGAAGAAAAACCAGTGTGTGTTGTGCAGAATTTCATCTTAAAATATTCAGATATATGTTGTCGTTCTTCTGTCCTTTCTTGTCATTTATTTTTTTTTGTCTTGGAAAATTGAATGTATAGATTACCTCCGTTGAAATCCTTTTTTTTTTCATTTGAACTGTATTATCTTATCTATTGTGATTGATGCAAAAATAAATAAATATGATAAGAAATATTTCTATATATACATCTTATAGATAAATAAATGGCTAAATCAACTTCTTCTAATGTACAACAACAAATTGATTCATCGGAAAAAGTTGCACAACAATTTCTTTCCAATGCTGATGAATATTTTCGTTCGGATGTTAAATGTATGTTCAAATCATAGACTTTTTTTTTTCTTCTTCTCATTGTTGATGCGAGGGCGAAGAGAGAGAGAGTAGTTGATGCTTCAATCAAGAAGTACTTCAAAACTCAATAGTACTTTATGCTTGATTATCACTTTTGGTAATGATGGATTACTCAACTTTATAAATAACATTTTAATTACATTGAATACTTAAATTTTATTCATATAAATTGAATATCTCATGAGTCATTCAAATAAAAAACTTGATTAATAAGATTAGATATATAGAAAAAGAAAACCTTGTGAGTGTTCTGTTTTTTCCTGAAATACGAGCTTATAGAATTATCTAAAAATCTGCTTATACATAAATTACAGAATCAAAAAAATGTAAATGAATCTAGTATAGTTGTCTCTTAGATAAGGAACAGCTAACTTCAATTACTCTCTAGAGCAAAAACTATATAAAATTCATAGGATAATAATCGTCTTGAAAATAACATTAAATAAGTTGTTTATAAAATAAATAAAAAAACGATGAAAACATACAAACATCGATAAAGCCTTTAAGTATTAGATGATTTAGTGTAATAAAAAAAAGTTAAGAGAAATATCAGGAAACTTGTGTCAGTTGTCAGGATGTGCCGTTTTCCCTAGAATACACTCTTGAAAACTACTATTGAAACGATGAATTTTTTAATTTCCGGATTAGATGAAAAACATCATAATATTTTGTTTTTTCTTCATAATTCAAAGTTATTATTAATCTATTTAAGATCATTAAAATTATTTCTATTTTTTTTAAAAATCAGTATATTTCATAGAGATATATTCAAGAAAATCACTTGATCATAAGTGTCGATAGTTTAACAAAAACAAAATAAGCTTCTTCAACTAAAGTATTTAGTACTCATTTTGATTTGTATAAATAATAACAAATCTTATGATTGATATCATCCATATGTTGAAAGGACATACATGATGTAAGAAATATTGTATAGATTTTAATAATCACGCGTCACATATAAAGAAAGAAACAACATGAATGTATATATATATATAGAAACAGGAAATAAATCGTATAATCTTCTAAATTATCGTCTGTCTATATCTAATAAAATCATGACATGTTTACTCATTATTTATCTAAAGAAACCAGCATGGTTATTATTATAAATTTGAATCTATTAGATAAGTTAATGAGAATATTACATGTTTCATTAAAATACTAAATTTTTCCTTCTAGTGGTAACAAGTGATTATGAATGTTTGAATCAAATGAATACGACTGCACTGGATAAATATAGTCAAATGAATCGAAAATTACAGCATGTGAATAATTCAATTCGAACAATGAATGATACAAATTGTAAATCATATTTGTTTTTTTGGTATCGATAAAAATACTTTTTTGTCTTATTTTTAGCTACAAAAATGTTATCGACGTATACACAATTAAATGAAATTGAAGATGCAATGTCAAATCTTGAATCAACTATTATGAAATTAGATGCATATTCTCGTTCACTTGAAACACAAGTGAAAAAATATGAAAAAACACTTGCAACAAATCGAACAACATCACCGATAAAAGATTCATAAAATGATTTTCTTTTTTGTCTTTTATTTATTTATTTATTTTTTCTTGTCATGTGATTCGATTTTTTCGTTTTTTTTAAGATGTTAAATCGTTTACTTCTTTCGCGATTTTCTATTTATCGACATTTATCATCAGTCATAGCACCTGCTTGGCGTGAAAAACTTTCTCAAGGTCCATCCTTAAAATCATTTATTGAGCAAACTGTTAATCAAGTTCCACATGAATCAACTCTTCCACCTTATATAACACAAAATAATATCGATGACTATGAACCATTCGATCCATTACAACATTCTAAACGACGTGTTTATTTCGATGTATATGGTTGTCAAATGAATGAAAATGATACTGATATAGCTTATACATTTTTGGATAAACATGGAGGATATGAACGTGTTAATAACGAAAATGATGCTGATATTGTTTTGTAAGCATAGAAATCTTAAACATTGTATATATATATATTATTTTCATCATATTTTCAGATTAATGACATGTAGTATTCGGTATGTGACGGTTTGATTTTTACAATTGAAATAAAAATATTTATGTCATTAGTGAAGGTGCTGAACAAAAAATTTGGAAGAAACTTCAATCACTTGGTCATAGAAAAAAGACACGTTCACCATATGCTCCACCATTTCAAGTTGGTGTACTTGGTTGTATGGCTGAACGTTTGAAAGAAAAATTAATTGAACGTGAAAAAATTGTTGATGTTGTTTGTGGTCCAGATGCTTATCGATCATTACCGAATTTACTTGATCAAACACTTTTAATGTCGGATCAAAAAGGTATTAATACAATTTTATCATTAGAAGAAACATATGCTGATATAACACCACTTCGATTTGATATTAATAATCGACGAGCATTTGTATCAATTATGCGTGGATGTAATAATATGTGTGCATTTTGTATTGTACCATTTACACGTGGACGAGAACGTAGTAGGTTAGTATATATAATTTCAATCTATTTAAAATTCGATGAAAATATTGATTAGTTTGTTCTTTTTTATAGAGTCATGTCTACTAGTAATTAGGAATCAAGAGGGAAATAGCACGAGACTTTAGTTGTAACATCTTGGAATTGTCATGAGACTTGATAAAGTTTTGATTAGACTTCTCAAATCTTTTAAAGCTTTTTGTTTTTCCCTTGATAAACTCTACCGAGTCCAATATTTTAAACCCTAGATCTTTTTTATTTTATCTGAGTGAGATATTCATTATCTTATGTATTTATACTGCATTCCATATATTTCTTAAGTAATTTTTAACGAACATTAATTTAGACCTATGGCAAGTATTCTTGATGAACTTCGTTATCTAGTCGATATAGGAATAAAAGGTAAAAGAAACGTTTTTTCGGTAATTAATTTATTCGCTTTTTTTATTTTTAAAAAGATGTAACTTTACTTGGACAAAATGTCAATAGTTATTGTGATAAATCTGAAATGAATGTATCATTACATACAACAAAAACATTATCAAGAGGTTTTCGAGAAAATTATAAAACAAACCTCACTAAAGGTATTCATTTTTATTTGAAGCATCACTTCTATAAAACATCTATATACATATAAATAGGTTCTATCCGTTTTACAACATTACTCGAACAAGCTTCACAAATTTCACCTGAACTTCGTATACGTTTTACTTCTCCACATCCTAAAGAATTTCCAGATGATTTATTACATGTTTGTTTCAAATATTTTATCATTCTTTTATAAATTGTTTTTTTTCTGTATTCAGGTTATGCATGATCGTCCGAATATCTGTAGATCAATACATTTACCATGTCAAAGTGGTAGTACACGAATACTTGGTAGATATACAATATTTTTTTTTCTTCTTATTTAATAGAAAATTTATGTAATTTCATATAGAAATAATGCGACGTGGTTATAGTAAAGAAGCTTATCTATCATTAGTAGAACGTATTCGATCGATCATACCTGATGTTGCATTTTCATCTGATTTTATTGCTGGTTTTTGTACGGAAACAGAAGATGATCATAATGATACACTTGATGTAATTAACCGTGTACGATATAATTTCATTTACTCATTTCCATATTCAATGAGAGAAAAAACCAAAGCACATTATCATTTAAATGACGATGTTCCATCGGATATTAAATCACGTCGACATTTAGAAATTCATGAATTATTTCGACATCATGCACATTCAATAAATCAATCATATATAGGACAAATACAATTATGTCTTGTCGAAGGACCTAGTAAACGTGCGCCCGAAAATGAAGTTGCTGGTAGAAATGATTATAACACAAGAGTTATATTTGCTAAACAAGTACCGAATAGTGAAGAAATATTACAACCAGGTGATTATGTACAAGTTCGAATTGATTCAGCAACATCACAAACATTAAAAGGCACACCAATAAAACGAACAACACTTCAGGAATCTAAATCATTAATGAACACTTCTTGTTAATGTTATGTAGTAAATAAGAAACGAAAAAATATACATATAAATACATTGATTAGTAATATTGATGAATGATCTAAATCATCAATGATGGTCTTGCTATTTCTTTATTAACTGCTTAAGAGGGATTGAGATACAATAATTTCATATGATATAATCAGAAATTGGTGCTTTATCTGAAAGCTTTGCACATATTTTTAAAAATTCATGAGATCTAAAAATAAAAACTTCAAATACCGAATTAAAAGCAATGTTTTTTCAACATATGTATGGTACAATATCTACTACCTTCACTAAATTTTATTTTCTAAAATCTAACCAGCTCAACTAAAATTGCATATTTAATTTTATCAATAACAAACCATTTTTTAGATACTATTTTTGATACTAATATATGTAAAATACATTTTTTTTGGTCAATTATTTGAGATAATCATGTCTTTTCTTTCATTTACATCACCATATTTTATTTCATTAAATCTTGTTGATACTCATCTACTTGAACGTTTTGAACGTGCTGGAATTAAAAATTTAACAGATCTATCAGTTTATACACCACTTGAACTTTCATTTAAATTTCGTTTATCAATTTCTGATGCGGAGCAAATTCTTGAAAAATTATTTTCAATATTAACAATACAATCAAAAAATGTTTATGATATGTTAATTCAAACATCATTTTCATATATTCCGACAAAATTACCATCACTTAATCGATATCTTAATGGTGGTCTACGACGTGGATCACTTATTGAATTATGTGGATCATGGGGTAAATAGAAAATAGAATAGATATATCATTTTATCTTTAATAAATAGGTAGTGGCAAAACTCAATTTTGTCTTCATCTTACTGCTGAATGTTGTTTAATGGGTTTACGTTCAATTTATATTGATACTGAACATACATTTTCATCTATTCGTCTATTGAATATGATCGGTGGTTTTGATAGTAAACAAGAATATCTACTTGAACTTGTTCGTACAGAAATTGTATTTGATTCCGATTCATTAATGAAAATTTTAACATCGATTGAAAATGAATTAGAAGAAGAATCAAAGAATAATACACCAGATCAATGTCCTGCTTTATTAATTATTGATTCAATTGCTGCACCATTACGAACGTCTACTATGGGTTATAGTCGAGAAAATGTTCTTCTATTATTTACTGATTGTACTAAAAGACTTGCTGCACGATACAATCTTCTTGTCTTAGGTATATAACTATATCAGATGAACTATTAAGATAAATATCTTTTAGAAAATTAGTTCATTTTTTTCTTCTGTCTTAGGATATTGTAACAATATTTGTCCTCTTTAAGTTTGTCTTTCATATACCTTGGTCTAATATTTATCTTCTTTAAGTTTGTCTTCCGTATGACTTGATCTAATATTTATCCTCGTTGAATTTGTCCTTAGGTCACACCCTTTTCTATTATAGTATTTACGATCGTTCCTGATACTGCAGTAGAAACGAAACAAATACAGGTAGGTGCGATTCTCAATAAGAAAAAATACTTGATAATGCAGATACATAGGTACTATTAGCATAGTTTTAGCACTTTTACATTTAGAAGATAAATTTAAACTAATTCCTATGCTTTTTTTTTTGATTTTAGTAACGAATCAAGTGACAACTAAACGTCGTTCAAATGTTTTATCAGAAAAGAATGATAAAAATATAGCCAATGATTTTTATACAAGTGTTGCACTTGGAAAAGCTTGGTCATATTCAGTAAATGTTCGTCTTGCTATATCCTATCAAGGTGATACACGTCGACAACTTATTGTTGGTAAATCAATTGAATCACCAGCTTATACAATAGCATTTCGAATATTAACAAATGGTTTAGAAGAAATTGCTGATAATGTAGATATTAATACTCAACGAAAATCATTCGAAAAACAATCTATACCAAAACTAATTCAAGCTGATGAAATACATCTTATTGGAAAACAATTACGACCTTAAAAATAATTTAAATGTATTATATTTTATTACGATTATTTTCTTTAACGTTCTAAATAGAAATGACTTTTATTGAAATTCTTGTAAGTGTACAATATTCTTATAAGATGTATCAACAAATTACAGCCAGAAAATCGACACAAAAATGTTCGTTAGTAAAAGGAAGAAGAAAAAAAAACTTTATAAGTCTTATTTATAAATTTCTAATATTGCTTTTTTAAGCCCATCGGCCAATTATAGCCATAGCTGCAGCGCCTAAATATAAGGCTGTGAAGTACAAAAATTTTAACCGAGTACTTAAATTATAAAATGAATGAGCATTAGCGCCCATTTCAGCAGTAATTAAATTAACCAGAGCAACATAAATAAGAATTCCACCTGATAACGAATCTAAAATACCAGTGATCAATAATGACGAAACTGATTTTGGATTATATGTACCAGAATGTATACCAATGCCTATAGCAATACCAACAGGAGTTGTAAGTGAGAAAAATATGATCATATAAATAGCTGGTTTAATAGAAGTTGTTTTTAAATTAGCAATTTGTGCACCAAGGGCAATTGCTTCAAAAAATTGATGAAAACAAAGAGCAGTAAATAGTGCAACAAATGAATCAGTTGTTGTACCCAATGTTAAACCAATGAGAACTGAATGAAGAGCTATACCAAATTCAAGTAAATATGTACTTATTTTATTTTGCTGACCATCATCTTGAAAAGCTAAACCATGAGTATGTGCTGATTCTTCACAAATATCAAGCGGTTCAGGTGAAGGTTCAATTTGTATTATATCAATTACTATATCACCATTTGAATGAGTATGTCTTGTTGCTTCAATATGATTATGTGGTTCTCCGGCATTTTCACATTCATTTCCTTGGTTTTGTGTGAGTGTTTTCTTTTTAAGTTTTTCACTTGTATTATGTATTGAATGTGTTGTTTCTAGATCTTCAGTTTCATTATTGATTTCATGTGTACATGTATGATCATTATTCATTTGATTATTTGCATCTTCTACATGTTTGATAGATATTAAGTCATTAGTTTTCTTCTCGATTTCTTCGTTTTTTATAATATATTTAACATGATGATCTGTTTTCATAAGGGCACGTTTATGAGCCACTGACCGAGATCGTTGATGACCAAGAAATTCAAGTAATTGCATAAAAAGAGCAGCCAACATAGCAAAAAGACCACCATAAGCACCATATTGATTCCAAGAATCAGGCAAACAAGGATCACTCAATGTTGACATTGCATCAGGTAATATATGGATAAAACCAGTTGCTAACACGACACTAAAATTATAAAAATATGATAAATAATTATTGGGAATTTATATTTTAACATACCCGCTGCCGAAAAATTTACCCGTATTAAGAATAACTGGATGAATATGTAAGCATTTCACTTTTGCTGAAGCAACTGAAATCGAAGCTCCAATGAATGATACAACCAACAGTACAAAAACAGATATAACATGAAGTGTTAAATTGTAAGAACGTTGGATTTCGTCAGCAGTTAAACTACATCCATCGTCGTCTTGTACAGTTGTATTATTGGTGGTATTCATCTAAAATAATAGTGTTATGTTTCAAATGTTTTATAAACGGCAAAAATACTTTTGCCCTCTGACGTCTTGTTATTTCTCGTGATCATCAATAGTATACGTTTCGACTGGTCTTATATTCTGCCGTCTTTCGCTCTCTTTTTTTCTCTCTCTCTCTCTATCGTCTATCGATAGGGAGAGGTAGATTCTGATTTACCTGCGTCGAATACTTTTCTTTTTCTTTTTCTTTTATACATCATCGTCCACCATTTTCATTCCCTTATATTTTTACTATCTAAACATCGCGCATAAAGCTTATTTATATGCTTTCATAAACTGTACGCGTTGTTTTTAACGCAAGCGATAAGTAACTGAATCAATATGATTACGTTTATTTTTCTGTATTTTTTTCGATAGATATTTTTCTAACCACGTTTTTTTATTTTTTTTTCTACGGAATAACAATACATAATAAATAATTGCAGGCATTAATTATAACAAAAGTATATACAAAAGTTTGTTTTTCTTCTTAAACTAGACGTACAGCAGTAAATGTAAATGCTATTTCCGATTTAGCTTCGATAATAAGATCAGAACGTAAGCGTGAGCCAAGTGGGCGTAATTTATTATCATAAAATAAACACGCCATTGATAATTGACATATTGATTTAAACCGAATATTAACTTTTCGTTGTTTATAATTTTGTATTAATACATTTGTTTTCATTAATGATGAATTTGTTGTTTGATTAACTGATAATGTACGATTATAGATTAACATAATATCAGGATCTTGTCCCAATTCAAATTCATATTTCTCTGATTCAGCTAATGTTGGCAGATGCCATTCGCCAGTGAGTACATTTGATGATGAGTCATAGAGAAGAACATGACCCGTTGGTAGAAATGATGAACTATTTGATAATTGATAGAGACGTTGAAATTTATGTTTACCAGATATAATTGATACTGGACTATTTAATGTTGGCAATGGTATAGTTAAAATAAGTGTATAAGTAAACAAAACTTTAATACGAATGTTTGGTATAAGAATAGGTAAAGTAATTATAGAATAGGGTTCAATTGCTATTGAATTATTAATAAATGAAAATAAATGAACACCACTATAATCAATACTATTTTTTGATGAACTACTTGAAATGATTAATGAAGAACTTTTACCATTACCAAATGCAAGATTAATATCACCTGACATTAAATGAGTTTGATTGAAATTATAAGATAATGGACTTGAATTAATAATATCAGCTAAAATTTGAAATTGTGTTTGACCATTAGCAAATGTTTGTAATGTATAACGAGCATGCCAACGAAGACTATTAATAACATATGTAACAATTAGAGAATGATTTGATAATATTGGATAAAAAGAAACTTCATAAATTTGATTTGTTTGAGGTTCATAAGAATATTCAATAAGATCAGTTTGAACACGAAAATAAAATCCAGTTTCTACTTCACGTACAATTGAATATTCAGAATCTTCTTTAATCATTTCACAAGGAGTAGGACTTTTTTGTTCAGGATATTTTCGTACTAAAATTGTTTTACCTAAAAAAACATTATCTATAAAAAATTTTAACTTGTAGATATTTACGAACCTGTATTATTAGTATTAATTCGAACGATTCGACGTTCAAACGATAAAGTAATATTACTATTTTCTGATGCTGATCGAAGAATAATACTTTCATGTTTGATATTATCCCATGTAGCCTGTTGAAATCGAAGGGGTCCATTATAAATTTGATGAATTTCTGCAAATGAATCATAAAGTCGTAATTTATTTTCAAATGATGTACTATCAACAGTTGACATAACCAATAAACTACCAATCATAATCAGAAACAACATTATTATTAATTTCAAATCTTGTTTTTTTTTATAAAAAGAATGAATGAATGAATGAATGAATAAAATTGTTCTATATTTGATCAATTAGAGAGTGTCGTATTTGAATTACTTGATATGTGCAAACAACTTATATAGGATATTTGATGCTAAAGAATTTTGTTCTATGTTTTCTATCGTATTTTATGTGCCAAGAACATCGTGATACAGCTATTCAATCCAATAACGATTACAATGGTATTCATGTTTATTCTAGTAGAAAAATAATATCTCAAGAGTTTGTTTAACATATTCTATGTATTGAAAATGTAATTTGAGAGATCATTATTTTGATATCATAGATGATTTTATTTGTATTTTCTCCTATTCTAAACTAACACGAAATTAAAGACGATAATAAATACAATCAAAATATTCACATCATATAAAATTCATCTATAGTTTAACTACGACAAACAATATACTCATATTTTTAACAAAATACCATTTGATAAAAATTAAAAATATTCTCAAGAGAAAATAAAACACAGCTTTATAACCTTTTCCAATTAATGTACTATCAATATAGTACAAACTCAAATACCTGAATTTACAATTACATAAAGTTTCATTAACGCTTGTAGATATACAATCGTTTGTCTTATGAAATATTCTAAATTCTCATCAATATAATGAATGACAATTATTTTCCTATTGTTACTATGGTTCTCCATGTTGTTTTTACGATAGTCTTATCTTGCAATGTGCAGATAACTGGAAAAGAAAAGATTACTATACATTAATACATATAGCTCGTGCGTATGTTGTTATACGATACATTACTGACAAAACTAATATATTATTTTTCATTTTGTTTTTCCCTTCTTAAGTATCATTTGGGAAACATACATCTTAGTTTAGCTCACATGTATACAAAATCGATTCTATAACGTTGGTGTTTATCTCTTGTATGCCGATATTGACATCATAGGAAAGGACATATAGATTATATACAGTATGTTATTTCTCTTTCATACTAAAACAAGTATTTGGGTCGGGCGTTGAGTGTTATATCGTTATTTACAGCAAAATAAATGTCGAAAATTCTTCTTTTTACTGCAATTTTTTTTTGTAAGTTGTCATAAAAATACAAAAAAAGAAAATTAATATTAATTTTATAATTATATCTGTAGTAGCTGCAATTGA